AGTTTTACTGGACTTTAAGTGAATATTACCCTACTTGTATGCAAAATAATAATAATGAAGCAATGCAAAAACAATATTTCACTTTTTGTTTGTGTTTCTAATGTTTATTGTTTTTAATTTATGTTCTGAATCTCGATGTAAAAAACAAATAACAACCTACTAGGTATACGAGCAAATTTAATCAGTTACTGTACCAGTTAAATGTAGGTCAAAGGCAAAATGCACCAAACAAAAAAACTTTGTAAATCAACGCAAATTTTGCTGCGTCTGCATCTATTATTGCAAAATATACACATTATACGTATATAGTTGACTTGTATAATAATTATTGTGTATATTTCACAAAACAATTAGTATTAATAAGGGTTTGTTTTTCATCCGGGAGAGAATACCGTATCTTCACCCATAAGGCAGTATATTATTTTTCTGCCAAAAGTACGAATAAATATTTGTCAGTCTCAGTTATCAAATTAATTTGAATATTTGATACTAAATGCAGTAACACTTCCTGATGTATATCACAATTCTACTTTACAATTTCAAAGCTAAATAGGTACCGGTAATGATAGAGATTGGCTTTCTCTCTAACCTCTTCGATTTTCTTGAAATTTTAGTACTTATGTTGTATTATTCGTCATGTTTGTAAAATTTTGAATTAACAATGGAAATTATGGAATGGAAAAAATCATATCATTCAACTCCCTCCTAATATACTTCAAAGGACGTCTTCACGCACATTTTCAAGCATTGAAAAATTAAAAACTACAACAAACGTGTTATTATGATATCTCGCAAATCATCTAATCATGGCTAGGTTAGGGGTAGAGGAAAGATTGGTATGTTAAAAATATATACAAGGTTTAAACAACCCTTCCTCGTCCCCATCTCATTTTTGATCCAATCTTACATGAGATATTTGCGAGATGATGAATTTATTAATATTCCGCAAATATTTTAGGCAAGATTCGGTTAAGGCTGAAAGGGAGAAGAGGCAGTAAGTATTGAAAATTTTGGAAAATTTTCGGGATGAAAACTTTTGAACAACTCCACTCTCCCTAATCTAATCTCCCGCCACCTAATCCTGCATGAAAGATTTGCGAGATATCAAAAACACATCGAAGCCGAAAAAGTACGTGAATTATGTGCCCAACATATACATATATTCTCTACCAACAAGACGACTAGTTACATACTAAAACTTCAAGAAAATTAAAAACATGTACAAACATTTAATTAAACAGTACAACCCAAAATTCAGCAAAAAGTAATTTTAAAAAACCTAAATAGTTTCTTACTCCTAATATGTCATCTTCAATTAGAAACTACATTAATCTAAACTATGAATAAATCGCACTATGACTTTTTTTGCTTTAAATTTTTGAACATATTAAAAGCTTATTAAATTTATGTCTTTTTATCACAGTTGTACGACCTTTTCTTTATTTACAGCATAATTTTGACACATCAACACGATTCCAGATTTATATCAGTTCTTTTATTATTCATTGTGTCACCTTAGTACATCGCAGCGACACCTGTGATCGAAGTCACTAAGTACTAAGGCGCTCGGAGTGTATACTGCCGAGAAATGTCTTTTACTGATATTATCTTACGTCTTATTTTGTAATATAATGAAATTTTCAATTACTATAAAAGTTTGAACTATTATAAAATTGAAACTAGGTTTAAAACAAAAACGAAAGGATTATTTATTTAATGATAGCATACTTATATGGATTAACAGCGTGTTTTTGTTCTGGAAAGGGATGAATGCTATCAATCCAACCCTGCTAATCATTAGGGAAAGTTGAAAACCGCGTATCAATTTAGAATGAAAAAGGATTTTACAGTAGGTACCGTACCATTTTTCTACTTAGTTTTCATTTTGAATTCAAAGACGTTTTAGACTTCCTTTTATCTAGAGTTTATGGTTCTAGGGGGTTTTAATTTAGTTCAGTTGCGTTGCGATTTTTCGGAAGTTTCATTTCAAAGAAATATTTTAATGTTTCCTGTCTTTTCGCCTGTTCGAATGTTTGTGGATTTTATACAATGTAGTCAACGGATGAAAAAGAAATCGAAATAATATTAGATCATATAAAAATAATGTTTGGATTTTGAGATTTGATGATTGGCATGGCTCTTAAACACAAATTCAGAAGTTTTTTAAAACATACATTTGAATAGTTCGTTCATCTTTCAGTAAAAATGGACATTCTCTTGGGACCAAATGTAAAGCAAATGGAAGCAATCAAGAATGAGTTGGGAGAGGATGAGGACCGCTTCGAAAATAATCGGAAATTGCTGCAGAAATGGATTTCCTGTCAGCCCCATTTACCACAAAATTATGGTAAGTTACATGGGATACACATATGAAATATTAAAACAGACGTACCTACAGTTTTAGTTTTGCAAAAGTATAACGGGCACCAACCCTACGGTTACCCTTAGGTACTAAACTAAACATCACTAAGACTGGTTGGACACGCACCTCCACTCTTTCCTATTCTGCGCTAATCTTCGCATTTCCTTAAAATTAGAACAACCCATATCCTTAACTATCTGCGAACAGTAACTCCTCCTAACTCCCGTTTCTGCCTCTAATATGTCTCTGACTAGACCTTCATACCTGAGAAGGTGTCCTACTAACCTATCTGACCTATTTCTTATTGACTTCCATAGAGTCTTCTGTTCTTTCTAATATCTCTTCATTTCAAAACTTCTCTATCCACGGTATCCTCATCATTCGTCTGTAACACCACATTTCGAACGATCCTAACCTATTCTTTTCCTCCGCGCCCACTATCCATGTTTCGCACCCATACAGCGCCGTGCAACAAACATACACCTTTAACAACCTTTTCCGAATTTATAAATTAACCGTTCACGAGCATAGAAGAGACCCTTTCATTAAAGGCCACACGACTCTGTGCTATCCTGGCTTCCTAGATACCTTAAATCGGTCACTTTTTCTAATTTTTTGTCTTTACATTCGCTCTTTCCCTATTTTTTCTTCCCTTGCATACCAGTATTTTTGTTTTATTACACTACTGTTTTGTCAATACCGGTTCCATTTTATTTCAGCTATCTCTAACTCCTTGCTACATGCTAGTGCTGCTATATCATCTGCAAATCTAAGCATACTAATCTTTTGCCCCTATTTATTTATCCCTACATTTGTACTATCTTTAATGATGTTGATCGCGTCTTCGATGTATAGATTAAAAAGTAGCGGTAACAGTGTACATCTCTGTCTGACTCCCTTCCTAATATTTACTTCTCTACGTTGCACAACCACCTCTATAACTGCCTGTTGTAAACTAAATATTAAAATCATTAAAATAGCTTACTGAAGTCTTTTATCCACTACATTTCCACGAACTCTTCATCATCTTTTCTTTTTTCGCTGCAAATTTGAAAACCTTGATATCGTGCCCCTGTCACTATTCATTGAAAATGTGCTTGAAATTCCAACCTTATCATAAAATATCCGGTCAATAACATAATGAACAAAACAATCGACACCTTGGTAGGAATTACAACTGTCGAACATCTTCTGAATGTCTACGACTAATCATTTTTCTGGACCTTGACCACCCACAACTGTATTTTGCGTTTATGTAAATTCATTAGATATGCAGTGGAATGAATAATAAATAATGGATAAGTGTAGTCTGCAGAATTTTGAGTAACATAAATTGTTTTTGTTTTAAAGGAAAATCTAGAAATGACTGGAATAAGAAAACTAGACAAAATTTTTCTTAAATACCTATTCCTAAATCCAGCCAAATCGTTTGACACTGCCAATCATACAATATTATTGCCAAATTAAAAAGAATAGCGCAAGGTCGAGTCACCCTTAACAAAAAGTAGTCGCTTCTATGCTCACGAACGGTTAATTTAGAAATTCGTTAAAATATTGTTAAAAGTGGGTATGTCTGGAGCATGGCACTGTACACGTGGACGGTAGGTGCAATAGAAAAGGTTATAAATGAGGAATTAGAAAGAGTAGGACAACAAAGGGCGGAATTTAATTATTAATAGACGAACGCGGTGTTACAGGCGAATGATGAAGATAAAGTGGATAGAGAAAGTTAGAAATGAAGAGGTATTAGAAAGAATAGGAGAACAGAGGACTCTATGGAAGTTAATAAGAAATAGGAGAGATAGGTTGATAGCACACCTTCTCAGACATGAAGGTCTAATCAGGGACATATTAGAGGCAGAAACGGGAACTAGGAGAGGTAGAGGTAGACCTAGGTTAGATTACTGTTCGGAAATAGTTAAGGATATGGGTAGTTCTAGTAGGAGTAGTAGTTTAGGACTGATGACTTTGTGATGAGGAAAATGCGAAAATTACGTAGCTCAGGATAGGAAACAGTGGAGGTGTCCAATCAATGTTAGGACTCACGGCCCAATAATGCATTCCTTTAAATCTCAAAATGGTATTGCACAGGGGGCAATCTTAGGTACATTTCTCTTTATTTCAAATATTAACTGTATGTAATCCTTATCATAATGACTGAATAAATAAGAAAAAAAATAGTGCCAGTTTATTGTGTACCTACATACTCAATCAAAGCTGAAATTTAATTAATCTTTTGCTCATACTTAGTATACTTCCTACCGGTACTTTGTTCGAAAATTATCTTAAGGCACAGCCAATTAAATCGCGCCGTTTTTTGGCTCATTTTAGAAAATCAACAATGCTTAAAATGCAAAATTAAAAAAAAAGCGATATCGTTACTAAGCGTTCAAAAATAAAAAACAGAAGAACACCTGTTTACTAAGTATGTTTTTTAGATCGATAATTTAAAAAATTAATAAATTCAATGATGTTTGATCAAAGGCGAACTTTAATATTTTGCAGTTCCGGAATACCTTAATTAATTCAGTAGCGTTAATAGGATTGAAGATGAATTATACAAACAATTTGGTATTCAATTTCGATAAATAATAAAAAATTTGATTGCCTCTTATTTAACAGTATATTTAATTGTTGTATTATTATAATGTAGCTTAATCCGTTGTGACGCTTTTATGTAAATTCCAAAGCAATTGACATTTTATTTATGGTTTGTTTACAAGTAGGTACTTCATCATCATCATAAGGTCGTAAGTCTTGAGACTGGTTGGACACGCACGTCCACTCTTTCCTATCCTGAGCTAATCTTCGCATTTCCCAAAACTAGATCATCCCACCACCTATCTCTCCTATTTATTTATTTATTGATTTCCATAGTCCTCTGTTCTCCTATTCTTTCTAATACCTTTTCATTTCTAACCTTCTCTATCCACGGTATCCTCATAATTCGATATTCAAATTTTTGCGTTTCCTCATATTTATAGCAGATAAGCCGTTTAATTTTTAAAAGCCTTTTTTTATAAAAGTACAGGAAATTATAGTGGAAAGAAAATCATTTCCTCTGCACCATAATCACAATAAAAGCGCTTATCTTACTGTTGGTTTTTGTTTCAGACCCAGGAATGCTTCGTGTATTTTTAAGAGGATGCAAACATAACCTAGAAAGAGCTAAGAAGAAAATCGAAGCTTATTTTGTTGCACGTCTTACAATTCCTGAATTTTATGCTTGCAGGAATCCTACGGTTGAAGAACTCGAAAATGCCTTCCAGTGTGTGTAAGTTCACTGCAACAGCGTTTTCGCGTCATTTTAAAATACAACAAAGCTAAACCTAATTTAACTCATCCTACTGTAGTCTACTCTCAGTTGTATACCATATGTTTCAAAAAGTGCGCCCACTCTTTGTTGTATTATTTTTCATATATTATGGACTAACTTTTTTTTTTCTTAATTTATGTCTATTAACCTTTTTTTATAATAGGTGATCTTACCGGTGGATGATTGGTCACGTTTTATAAAAATACCCTTTATGAGTGTAATATTGCATGATAACTAATTGTACAAGACACATTTGCAAAATACGATTTAATAAAGCCGTCTATCAAACATTAATTATTAATAATAAAACAAAATAGACGATAAGTAATAAAAATCTGGTGGAAAATACATAAGTTTCACCATTTTTTAAAACAGTTAAATCGTTTAGAAATCACTCACCCTTAAGTTGGTGAAGCTATTTTACTTTTCACTCATTTTTGATATTTAGCGTTTAATAATTATAAAATTGGCGTTAACCCATTACAGGCATATCCTTCCACTGTCAAAATTAACCAATGAAGGTCATCGTGTGACTATACTAAAGTTAGCTTCAACTGATCCATCCGATTTTGATATAAAAACCATCTTGAGGCTGTTGTTTATGATAGGTGAGTACATAAGTGAGTAAAATCTAAACCGCCCTCTAAAAAGTTCATGTTCATTGATATATAATCATAAATTGATCCACCATCGAATATATTCTTCAGATGAAAACAATTTTATCGTAATATGTATGTTTTAATTAACCACTAGTGGTGGTAGAGGTACATATTCAAGAGGGAAATTAATTACTTCTACCTATTTGATTATTATGTAAAATACTTAGCTTGTTAATATATCTACATGCATAGACATTATTTTTCTTAAATAATGAATTAAGAAAAGAAATACTTCAGTAACAGCAAATACCCACTAGATGGCGACACACTGTACTTGGATATTATAACCACTTTAATATTAAGGTATTCATTTATCACTCACCATTTGAAGAAGGATTTTACCCTGCAAAAAATAACGATGTTGGTTGTGAGTTAATGAAAAATTAATAAGAGAGATGGAAAATTATTTGTTGCAAAACATTTTATGAAGTTTTGTTTATTTATATTATTTTTGATGGTTCTATTTGTATTTTATACAGCTGACATAAGGACTGCAGAGGAACAACCGATTGCAGGCGATGTCTTTATTTATGACACTTCAGGACTAACTGCAGAACACTGTGTTAGATTTATTTCACCATTAGTGAAAAAGGCTGTCATGTTAGCTCACAATATATACCCCCAACGACTACACAAAGTGCACATTGTGAATGCCTCCCCCTTAGGAGAACGTCTGCTTCAATTTACCAAAAGTTTGTTGAAGGAGAAACTTAGAAACAGGGTAAGTTTGCAGTAAACTCTTATATTCACGCTAATCAATATATATTATAAAAGAATGTGTACAATATTATATGGTGTGGTCTCTAGGGTGTGCTTTTAATGATATAAGGGTTGGAAGTTTCAACTTCTACAAGTTTCTAGAACATTCCGGATAATTCGAGAGTATTCGAGGACATTTCAGAACATTCTGGGTCATTCGAAATTTTTTGTATGGGTAGGGGTATGTAAAGCAATATCCGTCGTGGGTTCCAAGGTTCGAGAACATCCTGGAACATTGGAATGTTGTGGAATATTCGGGAATAGTCTGGAATGTCCCAGATTAATGTGGAACGTCTCAGAACACACTTAAATATTAATTTTACCAATATTGAAGAAGGTTTTTGGGCACCAATGTTCTTCTGCGACAAGGACCACATTTTCCATCTAAGTATCTTTTCCTGAATAATTACCTGAAACAGTTCGCATTTCCGATTTCTCATTACATGACCAATGTGCTCCAGCTTGCTTAGTTTTGGTTTAGGTTATAACAGACCTATTGGTAAAGAGCATTCTTCGTCTGTTCCAAAATCTGTTAAACAGTGTACCAGAACAGCATTGTTTTAGCACAATAACTGCCTTCCTAATTTGACCCAAGTGTAACTTAAACCTAACCTAACTCACGATCAAATATTTCATTATTCCAGTTTATTGTCCACAAGACACCGGACACCTTGTTAGAATATGTTCCCAAGGATGTGCTTCCGGTTGAATATTGTGGTACGGAAGGAAGTTTAAACGAATTGATATCCACTTGGACCAAATGTATACTTGCCCATGCCGAATGGTTTCAGACACAAGAGAATGTGAAAGCTTCAACAACAATTCCTAGTAGTGTAATTCACGCATGTGGACTCGAAGACGGCCTTGGAATCCAAGGAAGTTTTAGGCAACTTGCGATTGATTGATTTGTTATTATTTATGTAATACATGAGCATTTTTTGTTTGGAAATGTTTAGATACCCAGTACAAAAATATATTTTTATAAATAATAATAATAACAAAGAGGTAGACCTAGGTTAGATTACTGTTCGGAAATAGTTAAGGATATGGGTAGTTCTAGTAGGAGTAGTAGTTTAGGACTGATGACTTTGTGATGAGGAAAATGCGANAATTTGTTATTTTACACCAGTTAATTTTTAATAAAATATTAAACCAATAAATTTTCGTACAATTTAAAACCCCCGAGACAACAATTGTCATTATTAGGTAAATAGTACTTCACAAAATATTTTCCTATGACAAAACCCTGACAATAAAGAAACCCAACGAAGTGCAGTGACATATTTACGTATTGAGTACAGGCTGAACACGTGGCGTGAAGCCATTTTTCGTGCTCTGTATCGCCCGGGATTTTGATAGAAGTCGTGAGCTCCCTGGTAAAACATTAGTTCCAACAAAACCTAACGCAACACACTCAGTTTCTCTTTTGGGACTTCCGTTCCGTACACATTGACGTTCAAATACGTAATCCCTTTTAGTTTTTACGGTGGCTGTGTTGACTGTTTAAAATCATAAGCTTACGGTAGTAAAAGACAACACCCACGAAATGATTTCACAACAGAAATAGAAAGTAAAAAGTACATTTTTGCAGACGCGGAAACGACAGAGGATGCAGAAGCGGAAGTGTAATAATTTTAGGTTACTCTTTGCATTGTTAATATCAACAAAATACAAGTACCAAATGGAATTGTTTGGCTTCAAAATTACACTTTTAACTCAAAATTTACACCACTGAGTAAACACTATACAAAACAAATAATGGAAATGAAAGGAAGAAGTCCGGGACGCTAATACTTCATAAACATTAAACAACTTTAAAAAAAAATATTAGGTGTTTCATTCCCACCAGCCATTAATGCTGATGGGTGGGCAGTCCCTCCGGAATACGCCGGAAAGTAGGGCAGAAGGCCCTCTTCAGCCTCCTTTCAGGAATCGTGGAACGGGATGGGTGGTGGTTCGGGTGAGAAAGATGAGACGGACGAAATGAAGACAGAATAGAACGGAAGATTATCTGTGGAATATTACTGCCTCAGCATTTGCCTAAGTTATCCAACAAAACCAGAAAAGGCCAAGGTCTAAGCCTCTAGACCATACCAATCGGTCATAAACATAAACAATTTCGCAATATTACAGAGGAGTCGCTGAAAGCTGGCGTAGGTACCTGCCCAACATGCAGTTTTGCAACGAGCAATTCCTAAATTGTATTTTGAAGAAGATCAAGTTCAGCCAACAGATCCCCTTTTCAGATAACACAATGGGTTACAGTAGAAGTTTTTGATAGTCACCGATTATATTTCAGGGCAAGTAGTACTGTAAATTTTGGTTTCCATATCGTATCCTAAAAGATGTGAATGAGGTTCTTTGGCGTCAGCCCATTTCTCTTGCTCAAGTTAACCAGTAAAAACTGAGAAAAACGGAAAATAATAATAATGTAACGTGGGAAATAGGTTGCCTTGATTTCTTTCCAAAAGATTTTTTTATTGTTTCGGCTGTTATACCATTATCAAAAGGCGAGTACAACTAAAATACTGAAATCTTGGAAAACCTATTAAACTCACTGTTACTAGGTCATTTTCATGATCTTATTGGTCGTTGTCATTTCCAAGATCAAGTATGTACTGTATGTACATACATATTTTTATATTATTTTTTAAGAACGCACTTGTGTTAAAATCTACTTCTACTTTCATCGGGCAGTACGTAAATTTTTTAAATCAGTGTCCGAATTATACAAATGTTAGGATGAAACATTGTCTGCCATCTATACTTGAAAGTCGAAGTGTGTTACGGAACTGTATCAAGAGGACACGTACAGTTAACGTGAAAGCTCTGCAGACGTAACAGAACGTTAGTCGAAGTATCTACAGTTTACGATTCCGAGTTCACGTAATTCGGTGAAAATTCTAGCCATAGGTGGCGCCAGAAGTAATTTCCCGTTTTTTGTACCATTTAACTAATAACTGAATACTGAATATGCATTGTCATTATTTAAATAAACTTCGTATGAATGAATGACTTTGAAGAAAATGACTTAACCAATCCTAAAATATGAAATTTAAAATTTTCTTTCTTTAAGGGGAATGAAATGAATGAATGAATTTAAAATGGTGTAAGCGTGACGAAAATGCTTTTTGCAAAATCGAAGGAAATGATTCATAATTTCGTGTTCTTTTTAAATGATTTTCAATTTTGAGCCCGCAAAGTCTAGCTCTTTTAAATGATTGAAACTAGAACAAATTTTTATGTAATAAACAGGAAAAGATGACATGTGTTTTGAGGGAAACGTGTTTGGAAATTTCAAAATCCTTTTTAAACAATTTTAAAATTTGGAGACGCAAAATCTGGCCCCTTTAAATGATTCAAACTGAGTGACAATTTTATGTTATAAACAAAGTGTTTTGAGGAAAATATATTTTTGCAAAATCCACGGAAATGATTCGTAATTTCGGACCCTTTTTAACGAATTTTAAAAAGTTTGAATGCGAATTTACAACAGTTCAAACAAATTTAAATTTATGTGACATAAGCGCGACAGGGTTTGGCGTTTTTATGAAATCGAGGGAAATGATTCATAATTTCGGATCCTTTTTTTTCCAATTTTAAAATTTGGAGACGCAAAATTTAGCCCCTTTAAATTATTCAAACTAGGTGACAATTTTATGTTATAAACAGGGCAAGATGACATGTGTTTTAAGGAAAATATGTTTTTGCAAAATCTACGGAAATGATTCGTAATTTCGAACCCTTTTTAACGAATTTTAAAAAATTTGAATGCGAAAAAGTCGCTCTTTACAACGTTCAAACAAATTGAAATTTGAGTGATATGAGCACGACTCGGTTTAGCCCTTTTTTTTGAAATCGTGAAAAATGATTCATAATTTTGGGTCATTTTTGTCCAATTTTCAAATTTCGATGCGTAAAATTTCCTTTCTACAGCGTTTAAATTAGAGGCGGACCTATTAGGTTAGGCTACGCGAATAATGCATCGTGTGTTAGTCCCTCCACTCATGGGGCCTTCTATTCCATGCATGTATTTCTTGTGGAAATTAAAAAATTACATCTTATTTAAAAATTTTATAGTTTGTCTTTAATTTTTGAAGTGAAACTTCTTTACGCACGGTAGGGTAAGTTCGTTTAATGCGAGTTGCTATGTAACGAAATCATGCAACGCATTTCTCCCGCTGTCTGTCCCTATGTATGCTTAGATCTTTAAAACTACGCAACGGATTTTAATGCGGTTTTTTAATAGATAGAGTAATTCAAGAGGAAGGTTTATATGTATAATACATGCATAATATAGTAGAGAAACACTGATAATTTTAGAGGTTTCTAATGTGATGTCGTAAATAAACACATTTTTTTGCGCTTGCATTGCAAACGCTGGCTGAACCCTACGAGAGATCAAAATAATGTACTACAGTAATGTACACCTTAAAAAAGCCTACAAAAGTCCGCGATGGTATATGTCTATCTCTTAGGGATAACCCACAATAACCATTTTTTATCCTTTACTTTTTACGAGAAATAATGGCTTATTTACCAAGCGATTTTAAGCAATACAGCATTAATTCTAATCCAATTAAGTACTTTTAAATACATTGTGCATTTAATATAGATTAGAATGGCCCTTTACAGCATGTAATTTAAATAAATATTTTCGAAGATATTACAGACTTGAAATGCGGTACCGGCCGGTTTTTATTGTCTAATGACAAAAAAGCTGTGATTGTTGTATGTAAAGACATTCTATAGTTTATTTAGTATCAGCATTGCACCCGTGCGAAGCATAGTGTACAAATAATACCATAAAATCAATTCCTTAACCCCTATCCCGGTATGTTTGTGTGTTTGATGAAGTATCACTTCAGTAGCATGTTGTATAAGTACACGTTGTATTTTTTTGTTTTATAAAACGAGGACCCGAAGATTTATGATCTGCTACTGTATATGACAACATAATACTTGAACATTATCTTGAAATAGCCGTGTCTAATTGTTTATATCCTCAAACGATTTCTATTCATTGATTTAGTTAATCCACATCATGATATGGTCAACAAACTGTGTAATTTTTCATGAAACGTCAGCATTTTATGAAGTGGTCGGCTAGTTTATGAAATGATTAATAATTCTACGATCTGAACGTATGCCCCACCAAGGCAACATTAGCGCACTCTGCAAGAAGAATTAAAGCAAACTGCCCCAGCTCTATATTCAACATTAAACCCTTAGACTAACTCAAATTCTCCTTCAGCAAAACCAAAAGCTAACGAGTAGTTTCAATACCATTCTTTTTAAACATGGAGTTTTTAGAAAGTAGATTACTTTTGGTATTACAGGCGAATGATGAGGATACCGTGGATAGAGAAGGTTAGAAATGATGATATATTAGAAAGAATAGGAGGCAGAGGACGTTATGGAAGTCAATAAGAAGTATGCAAAATAGGCCGATAGGACACGTTCTCAGGCATGAAGGGCTAGTAAGAGAAATATTAGAAACAGAAACAGTAGTTAAGAGTAGAGATATATTAGATTACCGTTCACAATAAATAGTTAAGGATACGGTATGTTCTAGTTTTATGGAAATGTGAAGGTTAGCTCAAGATAGGAAAGAGTGGAGGTGCGTGCGATGACAGGATTATTCATACATTCAAAAATTCATAACTGTCGCTTTCATTGTAAGTATTTGTAAAGAGAGCATCTGTTGAAATTGCTATGTAGACTTATGACCATTTATATACATAACTATGAATTGGAAATAAAATGTAATAAAGAATCCTTTTCGGCGTTTACGATTTGGTACCATCGGAAAGGTCGTTTCCGTGCATTTGCAGTAGATTTCTTTTGGTATTACAAGCGAATGATGAGGATACCGTGGATAGAGAAGGTTAGAAATGCAGAGGTATTAGAAAGAATAGGAGAACAGAGTACTCTATGGCAGTCAATAAGAAATAGGCGAAATAGGTTGGTAGGAGACTTTCTCAGACATGGAAGT